AGTCTCTCAGACTCTCCACGGCCTCTCTGCTGAGACAGGCAGCAAAGGGGACAGCTGGTGCCATGCAGGAGAGCGGTTTAGCCCATGGGGCATCCTAACCCCTGGGAATGGGACAGAAAGCTCCACGCCCACCCCCACACTCATTTCCCCTGGGCTGGATCCAGCTCCGTGTGTGAAGTGCCTGCAGCCATGCTCAGGTACTGCTGTGTTGGGCTCTCTAGAGCATATTGGGGGAGTTTAAAGGCCTCACTTTAGGGACTCCCTTCCTCCCCAATTCTTGGTGCCCTGCTAGGGTATGGCAGGGGAGACTATGGGGTTTCCCAGCCAATACTGGCTCCATTGCCCAGAATAGAGGTGCAGAGTGGGAGGGAAGCGGGGATCCAGCCCTTACTTATTATCAGAGGAATAGTACTGAGAAGCACTGCTATACAATGGGGCTTCACGCCCGGGCTGGGGCACTGTCAGGGGGAGCGTAGAGGAGCAGACTCACCCCTGTGGCACCTCCTGCTGGTCTCTTCTGGGAATTAGCTCTTCCAGCATCCTGGAGCGCCCCCTGCAGGGGGGTGATCCCCCTGTCCTCTGCCCCCCCCGTGTCCCTCCCGGACCCTGGTGCCCTTGTATCTGGGGTGCTGCCCCCTGGCAGTACACCCCTCAGTACTAGGGTCTCCCCTCCCTGGGGAACCCACACCCACTATCCCTACCTCACCTCAGAATAAGGCCACTGCCAGTCACCAACTAGCCCCCGCTCTCTGGGGCAGACTGCAGTATAGGCCACTCATCACAGGTAAGGTTGGGTTTGGACCTTTGGGGCTTTCCAGGCTAGAGCTCCCCAGCCTGTCCCCAGCCCTGCTCCACTCAGGTACACTGTCTCTAGCACCCTGCAGCCAGGCCCTTCTCTCTCTGCCTTCAGAGAGAGACTGCTTGGCCACTGGCTCACAGCCTTTTTATATAGGGCCATCTGAGGCCTGATTGGGGTGTGGCCCAGAGACCGATGCTTCCCAATCAGCCCAGTTTAGCTGCTCCCAGCCACAACCTTCCCCCAGGGCTGTTTTAAGCCCTTCAGGGCAGGAGCGGGGTAACCACCCCCCTACAGGGAGTCACACACTGGGTGCAAAGAACTTTCCAGCGAACAACACTGGGGGCACCTACTCAGCCCCCCATGCCCAAGGGCAGGACCTGTGGGTTCCGTGCTGGGGCGGGGTCT